TTATGACAAGCCCTGGTTTATTTTGGTAACTTTCCAGAACACTTCTGAATAACTATAAAATTTTTTTTTTTTAACATTTGCATTTTATTTATTGGATCTTCTCTGAATTGAGACTAACAATAAGTATATAGAATCTTAAATTAAAGAACTATCTGACAGTTAAGGTGACTGGCGCGAGATTTAGGGGCTCTAATAACTATTGCTGAGCTGGAAGGTCATTGCGTTGCAATCGGGTGCGGTTGGAAACCCTGGCTAGGGCCCTGGCGAGCTGGTTTGGATGAGAAGTTAGCTTGGTGTGGTAGGACGCTTTTTGTTTTGATATTTCATCTTTTACGGGTAGAATGCCAAGATCTCTGTGGATGTTGTCGTTCCGAACATTCCAAGGTGCCCCAGTGATAGTTCTTAGGATTTTTGATTGTGCTCGCTGAATAATGTCGAAATAAACGACGGATTGTTAGAAGGCATACCACATGGTTCATGGAAAAGAGAGTAGAACAGTTTAGAGCTACGGCCGGCGGCCATAACATAAACTGCGGCCGCACTTAAGGTCTATGCCACCCGGCCAAGATGTGCGCCATTTTGAAAGGCTCATGAGGAATCGGGCCCCCTACTCCGAACACGGCCCACCTATAGCCCGGCATGCACTTTATGTGCAACCTTCGCACGGTGCTCACATAATACACCTCCCCCGTGCCCCTACTGCCCCTGTCCCACCGTAGTGCCACGCCTCCAGAGCCACGTCCACGTCCACATCCACATCTACATGCACATCCACTGCCAGATCCACATCCCGATTCCAGTCCCAGTTGGAGGTTCGACAGGCAAGAGCCTTTGTCTTACGCTCCCCGCCTTATCTGCGTGGCAAAAACTTTTCAAAATTTTACTGCTTGCTGCAACATCAAAATGCCAAGTTTTTACGATTACGCTGCTGCTGCTGCTGCAATTTTACTTAATTTTAATGGGATTTTTTCTTCCGCCAACTGCAGAATGCATTAAACAGGGCCAGAGCATACGAGAGAGAATTACGCATGAACGTGCCTCCCTCTGGTCCCCTTTCCCGGGGAGTTCACCTCCTCGGGAGACGCACATATATCGGATGGACGGGGTACGGCACTGATGGAAGCGGAATCGGAGGAATTTAAGTCGAAGGTATGAAGGCTAGACCCCACCTAGTCGCAACTAATGCCGCCCGCCCATTGTGCGATTTGACGAAATAATAAAAAGTCGTAAAAAAGTTGTGACCCAAGGTTGGAAAGAGGCAGAGGGTAGAAACCAGTCCAGCTGCCCTTTCCCCCTGGAATTCTAGTACTTGTTAATACATAGCTAACTCGTATTGGGTAAGTCCATAAAGTGAGTCTTGGGTGTTGGGTTAATTAGAAGAATGCATTTTCGAGCAGGTTCGGCTATCGAGGGGGACCTCCCTTTCCGATAGTTCTACAAGCCACTGCTTTGGAATTTCAGTACAATACAGGGTGAAGTTGAACAAGCTAAGTGAAATGCGACATAAACAATTTTACAATTGTTTCGCAACTGATTGTTGAACAAGAAAATCATACTTCAAACATCTATTTCAACGCTGAACGAAATAAGGGTTTTGAAAAATCTGGTTGTCTATAAGTTATATTATCCTCTTAAGAAGTTAGGATGTAAGCTGAAAATGCTATTAAATCACACTTTGAACATGATGAACATAAAAGCACAGTTGAACTTACGTATCTCGAAGCACCATCTGTCATCGTAAAAATTCCATTTAAAGATACTTAACGTTAGGAAAAAATTTAAATATTTTAAGAATATGTACATATTGATAAATTTTGTACGTTTATCCATGCTTTTTTTTGTTTAAAACAATTGCCTGTTACTCAATTGAATGAACGTTTGAAAACAGCACCGACCTTTAAATGTATTAAATAATATTAAGAATAAAATTTCTAAATATTGCAATCCACAATTCTTATTAATCGAGTATTAATTTGCAAAATTAAATTACTACCGTAAATATAATTTGGTGAAGTTCGACTTATTGAACCAAAATTGTGTAAAAAACGCTAAACGCTACTGCTTTTTATTTTGGTTTGAGTTATGAGCAAATCGTCTTATATTCCTTTTGAGTTACTGAAGTTTAACTGTAGTTATTTTATTATGTTGTGTTTTTGAAAGCGAAAACAATAAGTCTATACCCTTGCAGAGGGTATTATAATTCAGTAACATGTTTGCAACGTAGTGAATAAATTATTACTGACTCTAACAAGTGTTTGTTTTTTCTTTACCAGAAGATTTGTTATGGGCATGTCCGGTTGTCTATCCGTTTCTACGCATACTACGGTTATAGTCAGAGTTATATTGATTTCTTACTTATGTTTTAATTTTATACAAATCAGAAGACACTATTATATAGCTGCCATCAGAACGATAGAAAAATTTAACAATCAATTGAAATATCTAGTTTCACTGCTTTGAAACATACAAATCGGAACTTGGTCGTTTTAAGGAATATTTCATTGAAGTAAGCAGTAAGCAGCAAGGGTATATAAAATGCAGATTTAATGTTCTTTCTGTTGATTTAACAACAAGCTTTAAAGAAATAATAATTGTATCAATAATATTATATTTTTAAAATATTATTGAAATATCCTACTTTAGTAGGTCTTAATAAAAATTGTTGACCTAGTTAATTGCAAAACATTTCTCAAACTCTTCATACAAAAATTAGTTTTGCGCATTTTTATAATCTAAGCTTTTGCAGGCCACAAAACCTCGACAATAAGTTCACGGTTGAATTCACTTGGCGACGGATGAGTAAAGTTACTTAAGGCTTGGACAACAGGGTTAGGGAATGCTTGACCAGCCCGACTACGCGGGAAGCCTTCATGACAAACTGGTTGCTTATTATTTAGCGAGCTAGGACCGTGGTTGTGATAAATCATGATTGTCTATAGGAAGCTCTGTTTGTGGATCAGATGTCTGGCACAAGTGGCAGCTTGTAAGTCGTCGGGCAGTAAAAATGACAGTAGCGAAATTTGATGGGAAATGAGGACCAGTCGGGAAGTGGAGTAGAAGTTGACGCTGCACAAATATTTTACGATCCACCCACAATATGAAGTCGTAAACTTGGAAAATTTTGCTTCCTGCTGCCGCTGGGTCTGCACTTTCCTATAGTTTTTAATAAGGATTGGTAAATGTTTGGGACGAAAGTGGAAAGGAATTTGTACTAGACCCGCTGAGCCATACGACGACGATGATGACGATGATACGGCTCGCAGCTCGTTATGGCCCCCGTACAAAATGGCATACTAGCGAGTCTATTTTTTATGAGAAAACAAAGAAAGGCGTCGCTGAAATTATGAGAGGACGTAAGGATATGGGAATGCGTCGTAAAATGGGTTCGAGGGACTGGGTTAGATGCCTTACTATATGTACTGAGTCATAACTTTGGTCGGATATTAGTAGGCATCGGATTTTATACAATGACAGATTTCAAGCACTCGATTCCAAAAGAACTTGGACCAAAAACTGTTATATTAAATTTAATTACGATTAAAACCAATTTGTATCCAAACTGCTGAGCATGTCCCATTGTGCAAATACTTAAAAAGGTTAAATGGTACAAAATGTTGGGAAATAAAAAACATTAACCTATTTTAAATAGAATGCGGAGTTTGTTTTTTAATGGAGAAGATTTCAATTTGAAGAAATCGAAAAATTACTTTACTATAACCTGCTACTTTATATACTTCGGCTTGAGAAATTTTTTCCAACAGAAAGACTATTTAGCTTCGGTTAAAATTCGATAGAAACAAATTTCAGTAGTATAGCGGACAGAACCATTGTGAATGAGGTATAGGGTTACAAGACGGGTTAGTAATAGGAAAGACTTAAAAGTCAATAATACTTTTTAAGTTATTTTCAGACATTTTGAGTTTCCGTTTAAAATATTCAATACTTTTTTATACAAGATATATTGTTGGTCTTGGCAAACATGTTTTGATAAAAGACTATTCATACAATTGGTGGGAATCTAACGCAATAAATTTATGTGTTTTTTTTAAGCAATTTATTCTCCTGTGCCTAAAACAAAAATTACCTTAAATATTTTATTAAAACTCTATTCTTTGCCATCAATCCCCTCACATATCGGTCGATTTCTTCGTTTTCTTCGCACACAATTGAACCATAAACACTGTTAAGCTTTATGGTGCCCACGTTTACACGTCGCCATTGCCTACCCACAGTATCCCAGAGATTCTCCGTCCCAGTCCCACTACGATTCCTGAAATTTCATCGTGACGTGTTTAGTGCTGGGAAGCAATGTTAAGCTGTTAGGGCCAGAGTATTGCAGGTACCTGGTGGCGGACTACAGCCGTACATCCCCAGCTGAAATAACTAAAACCGTAACTTGGATTTTGAGTATCACACTTACAAAAAAAAGTTGACCTTGTTAAATAAAAAAGTAGGTTATAAAAAAAAAGAAATACCTAATTAAAAAAGTTACAAATACAAAAAAATAGTTTTAGATTTTAGTAAATATACTGAACATTGCAACAAATTCCATTCCTATTATAATTAATTTGTTAAACGTTTAAAATAAAAAAAGCATCAAAATAATTAATTAAGTCTTGGACAAATCATTTTCGGCAAATAAATACTTTGGGCTTATTCGAAAATCACCGAAAATATTTTCTGAGTGCAGGCCTTGAAGCAACGGTGTTCGCAATGTCGTAAATTTTTTGCATGCATTTTTCAGTTTAATGATGCATTTACGATCCCAGCAGCAGTGGCGACACAAGTAACTCCCAGCTCCCGACTCTGAGATTCTGCTTCCTCACCCCAGAAAACATCATCACCGGGATGTGCGATGGAAACGGATTCGTGAAATGGCAACAACTCGAAAAGCAATCGTTACAATTTATAATGTCATTAACAAATAAACAACAAAGGATTTCCGGGATTTTCGGTTTCCATTTCTGTTTTGAACATAAAGATTATCTTATCGACACTGATTTTGTTTAAGGAAAATAGTTTATTTTTGACATTTCAGGTTTATCCTTTTTATAATATTCCGTTGGGCTAAATCTTACTTAAGTTGGTAACAATATTTTACAATGTCAATGAGAATTATTGTTGTTATTAAATATTACAAATAGAGTTTCACAAGACATCGATATAGTTAGCCTAAACATAAATTAAATTTGTGCACCATCTCACAACAGTTTTGATTCCGAGAACCCAAGAAGGGTTACTTTCCAAGTACCTTGTTTAGATATAAATTCACACTTAGAGAAGAAAATTGAGATTAACTTTTAATCATATATTTAATGATTCTTTAACATATTTTTCTCCTCGACCCCCATTAAGTGCAATTAAAAGACATCACTTTGTACTTAGATTCATTGAGTAATCGAAAAATAACACGAATGTCTGGAGAGGGGTGATTTAAATGGGTTTAAATAGACTGTGACATCGGATAAACGAAAATCACTCTCAAACCTAAAAGTAGCCTAGTTATCTCTGTAAAGCAAGACTTAGATAAGCTAAAACTAAAGCTATACAACCAATGTGCGGATTTGTGATGCGAACGTGTTGAAATGTTGATCGTTGATTTGGCATTGGCATTTTCGAAAATGTTGGAGACCTCTAAGTAAATATTTTCGATTATTTTGATTCGTTGGCGGCAAGGGTTTTGTTGCATGTTGATCAGATCCACTGGGGGATTGTTGATTGAAGAGAAGAGAATGTTGCTTGTTGATCGGCTGCCACACTTCTCAGCACGGGGTAATGTTGATTGAAGAAAAGTGACGCGGGGGACCGGCGTTCAAACATCGACATATTTGGCTTGTTGATTGAAGATAGTCCAAGAGGCGCTCTAACTTACCGATAAATTCGATATATGTACAGAGGTTTCGCTTCTTAAAACCCTAATTACTCAACTTTAAGATACGAAAGATAAATTCGCGCGATTGCACCGAAGCATTAAGCTAATATATGGTGCTGAACAATAAATATCAGGGCAAAGAAATATTCGTTACTCTAGTTAATGAAAAATTATCATCCACATTGCCGCGTTGTGTTGCGTAGCTCACCCCCGTCATAGATATTTAAGTTATGCTGACGGGAGTACTCATTCACAACGTATTGGCCTGGTTTAAATCAGATCGAAAGACATTCGGAGTTGATTATGGAATTATATTTTCACAGCGAGTTCGGGGGTAATCAGGTGGGATTGTATTCCCTGATCGGTCTACTTACCCTCTTCAATACGCCGGGAAGCCTCTTCAATGTTGGCGTCTGCATCCTTCAATATCACATACATGAGTGGCATAAGCTCCCACGGATAGCGGAATTTCTCTAGTAGCTTTTGGCAATAGTCTAGGAAAACGTCTTGGCCTGAAAAGCAAAAGCAAAAGAAAGAGTCGTAAGTCATTAATTGTCCGAAACCGATCTCCTTATTCATTTCGGATCAAGCTTGATTGACAAATCACATCCACATAAACAAACAATTCGCAAGAGAGGCCCTCATCAAAGTGGAGCCCCTCATTCTTGAATTTCGCCAGTCTGCATAAGTGATTGTGAAAAACCGGCAGACAGCCATGTGTAACGTAAGCAAGGCGGCAAAAACGTCGGCACAAATTGCAACTCAATACGGGGAACCAATTGATATTGAGCCAGAATATAAAAATACCCATGATCAGTAAAAACAAGTAGAATAAGCACAATTATTATTATTAAGCAGGACTAAGCTAAATGTTTTGTCTTCTGTTTAAAAATGTAATACAATGTATTACACTTTCAGTAAGTGTACAAAGTTGTACTAAAAAATTCAGCTTAAAAATTTAATCATTCTTAATAAATAAAACTAATAGTTACCAGAGAAACGTTTTTTTGTAGTTAAGAATAATTATTCTAGATTTAAGTTTATATAAAATATTAAAGGATTAAAGTTTCATAAGTACAAAATGTAAAGATTTTAAGTGTTTAAATATATTACCATCTAGACTTACTACATTCTTATAAGTTTAACGAATATGTTAATACGTTAGACTTACATTTAAATTATAAAAATCTTTTTAAGTTTATGTTTTATCGACATTTTTGGTTTAATATTTGGAAAACTCATATTTAATATTTTTATTGGTTCCAGTAACTATATACTTTCCTTCCATATTTTATGGGTTTCGTTTTAATATTGTGTCCGCTGGTGTTGCCTTCCACTTTTCTCTTTCACTCGTGAAGCTTATGCCATTATGCTCTTCGTATCGCCAGCCATTTTTTCGTTTTTTTCTTTTTTACCTACACACCAACAGCAACCGCACGGCAGCAACAACAGCAGCAACAACAGCAACAGCACAGCAGCAACATTGGCCCGTCGTCGAAATCGTTGTCGGTAGTTTCGTTGTAGGCGGAGCTTCATATCCATTGGCCCGTTTTATTATGGCTCTCTGCTGGCTGCTCCTTTAATGCGGCCGTTGGTGTTGCTGGCGTGCAAGAGTTGCTGTTGGGGCTGATGTTGCTGCTGCTGCTGTTGCATGCAACACAAGTGCTGTTGCAGGGAGTTTGTGGTGCAGGATTTGCATTGGCGCACTCACTTTGCGTGTGCGAACTTGACGTGAAACACGTTTTTGGGAACGGCTCTACTTCCTGTTGTTGTGGCACTTGTTTTTTGCTACTTTTACCTGAGCGTTGCCCACATGCTCATTCATCTGGGCGCGTTGCACGAATATTTGCCGGACTGTCTGCGCCTTTTTAATTTAGTAATTAAGCTATTAGTGAGTTCACCATTGTTGGGGTGATGTTTTGCTAGCATTTTATGCTTGCAAATTATTTTATTGGACGCAAATAAATCTAATAAATTGATTTATTGCTGCCGCAACCGCAGCCATGGTCAGGCAATAACACCCAAACAATTTTACTAGCCCTATTCGTTGTGGCCTGCATATTAAATTGCATGTACCATGCCTTCAAAGAAGGAGTGCGATTGGATAGGAGCATTTCAAAAAGACCCTGTTTTATTTGGTTGAATTATAATCAAGCTTTAGATTCTTTTAACCACAACAATGTGGAATCGCGAAAGGTTAAGAGAGTAAAAACCTTTTATTAAGGTAATTTTTAATGTTTTAATGTTTTGAAAATTTTTCCGCAGTAGAAAATATATAATTTTTGAGTTATTTAGACTACTTTAAATTTGTAAAAAAGTTTTACAGGGATTCGTTCAGAATGTTTTGCTGGAAAGCTCTATTTAATTTTCTAAACTCTTGCAGCAGCAAAAAATTTGTAAAAATATTTTCTAGGCAACATAAACCTTACTATTTTTAAAATTATTTGGACTAGCTTAAGTTCATAAAATAATTTTAATTAATCTTATTTTCAATGCAATTGATTAATTGGTTCGAAATCGAAAGAGTCAGAAGGGTCTTTAAAAGGGTAGCTTTAAGACAAGGCAAGATAAGTTTAGAATATTTTGTCCAGTTATACGAAAAATTGGAAGCTACCATAATTATTAATAATGTAATGTATCACTTAATAATTTTGAGTATTTCATTTAGCTTATAGCATTTTTGAATTTATGAGGAACGTGCAATGATATCGTGCCCCAACTGTTAGCAATGGGGTGAATAGAGAGATAATTTAATCTTAATTTAATTAAAAAACACCATTGAATTGGCAACTACAGTCCCTTACATGGTATTCGGAAGAAGTTCGGCCGGAACATGCATGTAGAATTGAATCCTACATGTATTTAATCACCGAACATTTTAGTCACTTTAAGCGCAATCCTAAATAATACACACATTACACAATATTTATATAAACGTTCGGGAAACGTTGGTAACGCCCACTCGGCACGAATACCCGTCCGCACGAAAAGCTGCAGCTGTCGCTGCTGCACCGCCACTCCCCTCCAGGAATATGTACTGCCCCATATATACGTAGATCTGGTCGGATAGATGCACGTCTATATGCATGTACAGTTAGCCAGTAAACGATGCCATTAACGCGCATAAAGCGACTCTGCGCAGGGTCATGTGGCAGGAGAAGTGGGTACAGAAATCCAGGCTCTGCGGAGTGCATATACCGCCTGTACATGGAGTACTGGTACTATATGTGCAGGCTGCACTGGTGTTGGTGTTGGTGTTGCTGTTGGCATTACTTTTATTACTGTCCAAACTGCAGCTAACCGTCCACTCGGCAATCTCCGAGTCCTCCACGAGGTCCTCGTGTCCCCAGCTCCTTTAGCAGCGTTTAAGTCGTTAGCGAAGTTTTCTTGCTCGATTTTCTGCGCCTTTTTATGAGTTTGTTGCTGCAGCACGAAGCTGTTCCTCTCTGGATGCTTCTGCTGCAGCTGCTCAGCACGCACAGTTTCTGGAGGAGTTTTTATATATCCTATATATAGCGCGGTGCACCAATTGGCAAGCATTACATGGCCAAGGCATGTCGCTCGGCAGCATTCGTTAGTTGCCGTCTTTTTTCCAACGATTTTATGCATTTATCTAGACGGTTTCAAAGTTCATCAACGCAGAAGTCATTCATTTTTTTTCTAAGAATTATACACATTTATTTTTAAAAATAATACTAAAATTCACTTGTTTTTATATTTTTAATGATATTTGTATACTCTTGCAGAGGTTATTATAATTTTGTGATGTTTTTCATTAGCATCACTAGGCGATTCGAAATCAGACTTTTTTTGAGTCTGTAAGCAGTTTTAAAAACGTTGCTCTGTAAAAGTCTATATCTGTATATATGTAAAAAGCTATCAGTAAGAAAACTGGGAACCCACGCAGAGCCAAAACCACTGGTTAACAATATTAATGGGGCTCCCCAAGTGGCCCCAATCTCTTCCAATTGGAAAAAAGGTCAATTTTCCTTTCAAAAATGGACGCTAAACCGTTTAAACAATCGAATCTGTGTTTTCGCCCGAAAATAGTTTAAGACATTATAAATGTTTAAAAAATTTGACCGCTTAGATTTAAGGCTTTTTACTATTTTTAACACCCGTTCTAAAATTACAATTTAGCCAAAAATATCTTCAAATGTCGAAAAATGGCACTTCTAAACTTCGGTAAAGTTTTTCCTTAAGCTTTAACGATTCATTTGATGGCTTCACCAAAGCTCTAGCTATCTTCTAAATAAAGAAACTAAGCAAAACGTCGATCTATTATCGAATTTAAGTGCTCTTTACAGTTATTGCTGCCAGAATACTCAAATGCCGTTTTTTTTGGCGAAAATCTATTTGGCCCGGTTTTTGATAGTGTAGTAAAAATATACCATTCAAATTGTTTTTTGCGGTGTTTATTTTTACAGTGTTTTGCCACGCGCTGTTAGGAAACATAAGAGCGGGAGATCGCAGTAGATAGAGAGAGAGGAAAGAGTGTAGCAAGTGCGCAAAAGAAGAAGTTAACGGGGAAACTTTCAATTCGGTTCAGAGTCGTATCAAGAAAATTTCTTTGCATAACCGTGTATTTTGGTGTATAACCGTATGTGAGCAATAATATTATTATTTTGGTTCGCCTTTCTCGGAATTTAAATTTTTTCAATAGAATGTGCAAATTTGTTGATATCTCTGATGTTAACTTAAAAATTTGGTGAGTTGTGCCAGTTAGTTTCGTTTTTTTATATTCTTAATTAGTAAAGTCATAAATGATTTACATTTAAATGAATATTTGGTTATTTATTAATTATGTGCAGTAGTGATATACCAATTAGCATACTTGCATTTTTTACATATATAAATGCGTTTTTGCAGTTTTTAATCTTATTATTCGATATAAACATTGCATAAATTGCACTATTTAAAAAATATGGTCTTAATATTTAAGAGCTTCCTGTATGGAGACAGGTATAATGCAAACATAAAACATCGCAAGCGAAGCTGCGGGCACCCTGCTAGTCCTTAATATAGCTGCTAATGGTCCAATCCGGTTTACATTAGATAAAAAGGGGAATTTGAAGGATATTGCGTATTTTGTCTGAAATGATGTTTTCAATTAAAATTTCAGTTAAAAGTTTGCAACGCAGTGAAGGAGACATTTCCGACCCTATAAAGTATATACATACATATGTATATTCTTGATCAGCATCACCAGGAGAATCGATCTAGCCATGCCCATCTGTCCATCCGTCCTCAGTTTTAAAGACATCTGGTCAAAACTTTCCCAAATGTTGTCTTTCTATTGCAGGTAGTATATATCGGAACGAGCCGGATCAAGGGACTATATCATATAGCTCCCATAGGAACAATCGGAAAAAAATGTTAAAAAAAGGATAACTTTGTTGTTTTTTTTTTTTGTTCTTTGCGATTTGGTAATGTTTAAATACTATGGAAATACGGTTTAACTAAATTAAAATCGGACATTTATATTTATTTATATTTATTTTTTAAAAATTTT